TTTTTTTTTTTGAGACCGAGCCTCAAACTGTCCCCCTGGGTAGAGTGCTATAGCATTGCAGCTCACAGTAACCTCCAACTCCTGGGCTCAAGCAATTCTCAGGCCTCCACCTCCCAACTAGCTGGGACTACAGGTGCCTGCCACAATGCCCGGCTATTTTTTGATTGCAGCCGTCATTGACATTTGGTTGGCCCAGGCTGGATTTGAACCGGCCAGCTCAGGTGTATGTGGCTGGCACCTTAGCCGCTTGAGCCACAGGCGCTGAGCCATTTCTTCTATCTTATACAGTGGTAGAATATCTTTGTAACTAAACATTTACATTGTGAACTATTTCCTGATAATATATATATATATTTTTTGCAGTTTTGGCTGGGGCCAGCATCCTACTCCTTGAGCTACAGGCGCTGCCCCTTAATAATATTCTTTATTTCTAAATGTCAAATTTCATTTGAATGTTGATATCAAACACTTAAAAAATAGGCTAGTATTAATGGTGGGAGAAAGGATCCACCTGTTAGCAATTTGCCTGATACCAAATTTTTTATTCTTTTGCACATTAATAGGCGAAATGTTATTTTATTATAGCTATAATTTATTTAAAGACTAGTGGGAGGTGCCTGTGGCTCAGTGAGTAAGGCACCGGCCCCATATACCGAGGGTGGCGGGTTCAAACCCAGCCCCGGCCAAACTGCAACAAAAAATAGCCGGGCGTTGTGACGGGCGCCTGTAGTCCCAGCTCCTTGGGAGGCTGAGGCAGAAGAATCACCTAAGCCCAGGAGCTGGAGGTTGCTGGAGCGACTCCACTGCACTCTACCGAGGGCGAAAAAGGGAGACTCTGTCTCTACAAAAAAAAAAAAAAAAAAGACTAGTGAGTGTGAAAATTTCCCTTTAGACTCACTAGACCTTGTATTTTTTTTTTTTTTTTTTTGAGACAAGAATCTTATTTGGTTGCCCTGGGGTTGAATGCTGTTGTATGTCACAGCTCACAGCAACCTGGGCTCAAGTTATCTTGCCTCAGCCTCAAAGTAGCTGGGACTGTGGCACATGCCACCCCACCCAGATAATTTTTCTGTTTTTTGTACAGATGGGGTCTCTATCAGTGTGGTCCCCAACTCTTGACCTCAAGCAAACCTCCTGCTTCAGCCTCCCAAGTGCTAGGATGTGAGCCACCGCAACTAGCCTGTGTGTATTCTTCAGTGAATTGCCTGTTATTAATGAGGTATTTATCTTTTTCTTTTTCTTTCTTTTTTTTTTTTTGTTGCAGTTTTTGGCCAGGGCTGGGTATGAACCCACCACCTCGGGCATATGGGGCTAGCGCCCTACTCCTTTGAGCCACAGGCACCGTCCTCTTTCTCTTTTTAGCGGGCCCAGGCCAAGCTTGAACCTGCCACCCTTGGTGTATGTGGTTGGCCCCCTACCCAGTGAGCTACATGCGCCCATTATCTTTTTCTTAATCACTATTTATAAGAGCAATCTATAAAGTTATTATTAGTGCTGTATTTTTCCATTTGTTAACTCTCTTCTAAAGGGGTTTTAATGTTAAATACCTACTGGTATATTTGCTGTCAGTCCTCATTTTGGATTTTGCTATCTCTAAAAAATACATCAGATATGAATAATTTTACGGGTCGCTATTCTTTATTCACAGTGGCTTAGAGGTAGATACAAATTTTAAGCTGTATGATCATTAATTATAGTCTGGATCTTAGTTTCCTAATCTATGAAATGGGTAGAATTAATTTTTACTTCCTAAAGATGCAGAGAGGCTTAAATAACATATGCAAGGTAGTTAATTCCAGTCTTTTTTTCTTTTTTGAGACAGAGTCTCACTTTGTTGCTCTTGGTAGAGTGCTGTGGTCTCATAGCTCACAACCTCAAGCTCCCGGGCTCAAGCAATTCTCTTGCCTGAGTCTTTCAAGTAGCTCAGGACTATAGGTGCCTGCCACAAAGCCCAGATATTTTTAAAGATGGGGTCTCGCTCTTGCTGAGGGCTGGTCTGGAACCCGTGAGCTCAGGTAATCCACTTGCCTTGACCTCCCAGAGTGCTAGGATAATTCCAGTTTCTGATACATAGTAAACACTCAAAATTTTTCTAATTTCAAAATAATACCTCACTAAGTCATTACCACAATAGTTGGCTGTGTTTAGAATTAGTTCTAACCTTTTCTTCTAGGAATGGTGTATTAACGGGAAAACAGGACCAGAAATGCCGTAGTAGTTCTCCAACAGCTACATACAAGTGTTTCAGTTCAGACTGAATATCGTTTGGCACCATCTCTGCAAAAGAAGGACATGGTCCATAGGGTCAAACTATTTTCACACATGTGTAGTCTCTGAAAAAAACGACCTCTCCAAGAAAAACTTGAAAACACACACTCTTTGCCACTGCCAAACTAGCATGTGCTATTTTGAGTAAATTATGGATTTTGTGGATGAGTGATCATAGAATTTGAAAACCCATGGGATTTTGGAGAAACTTTCAAGTTTCCCTTTATTCTAAGAAGCATTTAGTATAACATTAGGGAGACTAGCAAAGTGCCTCTATTTGTAATATTGTGACAATTCTGAAACCTAATCTCTTCAGAATCTGAATGCATAAAAACAAATCTATAAAACAAAAATCCCAGAAACAATACAAAGAAAAAACAAAACTTTAGCATTCCTCCTGGCTTGCTCTTTGGAGCTTATTTGAGCAAAGAGATAGTAGAAGGCGGCCTAGCACATACGATTTATGGCTTGCTGTGCTCCTCCCTGCATAAGTGCTCCTCCAGGTGATAGTGCTGCAATGGTACTGCTGGCAGCACTACTTGAGAGAACCTGGAAGAAATGAAGACACAGAAATTGGTTTTCCTCCTTTTTCACCACCTTTCTTTTCTTTTTTTTTTTAGACGGAGCCTCAAGCTATCCCCCTGGGTAGAGTGCTATGGCATCACAGCTCACAGCAACCTCCAACTCCTGGGCTCAAGCGAGTCTCCTGCCTCAGCCTCCCAAGTAGCTGGGACCACAGGCGCCTGCCACAATGCCCGGCCATTTTTTGGTTGCAGCCATCATTGTTGCTTGGCGGGCTTGGGCTGGGGATTCGAACCCACCACCTTAGGAGTATGTGGCTGGTGCCTTAGCCGCTTGAGCCACAGGCGCTGAGCCTTCACCACCTTTCTTAACGTTTTGGTTTTATAACAAAAGGTTAAGTGTTCACTTCTATATAAATATTGCATCATTTGTATCAACAGTAATCAGAGCAAACTACTCTCCTGGTGGGTAGAAATAGCCTGAAAACAAAGAGAATGACCTCCAATCTTGCAGGAATACCATGTAAGTCCATAGGAACTGCAAAAATCATAAGCTATTGCCTAACCACAAGCTATTTCCTAACATGAGTTACTCCCAAACATGAATTGTGTTCATCTTTTTAATATAGTTTTTTCCTTTCTTAAGCACTATCTCAATTTAATCTGTCAGTTTACCAGGGAAAGTAACACTGAATTTAAGGAAAGAAAACATCATGTTAAAACGTATCCTTGGCTTGGTGCCTATAGCTCAACCGGCTAAGGCGCCAGCCACGTACCCCTAAGGTGGCGGGTTCGAATCCCCAGCCCAGACCCACCAAACAACAATGATGGCTGCAACCAAAAAAAAAAAAAAGCCGGGCGTTGTGGCGGGCGTCTGTGATCCCAGCTACTTGGGAGGCGGAGGCAGGAGACTCGCTTGAGCCCAGGAGTTGGAGGTTGCTGTGAGCTGTAATGCCACGGCACTCTGCCCAGGGGGACAGCTTGACTCTGTCTCAAAAAAAAAAAAACAACGTATCCTTAAAAGAAGCTGGGGGGAAAAAACCAACAGAGTAAAAATGTATCAATTATTTAACTTTCAAGGAACAGAATTGTCAAAAAGGAGAAAAATAAATTCCCCACTGCATCAGCACCATTTATTAGAGGCATAATTGACCTGTTTATTCAGGTCAAATGAGTGTCTAACAAGTGCCAGGCACTGCGGCTACAGAGAGAAAAACTCATTTCTGAAACAGCTGAAGTACCGGGTCAGCATGTCTAATTTTCTTTTTATCAAGAGCAAGTTTTGCTATTGCCTGGGATAGAGTACTCTGCCTCAGCCCAGCTCACAGCAACCTCCAACTCCTGGGCTTAAGCGATCCTCCTGTCTTGCTTTCCAAGTGGTTGGGACTATAGGGATACGCCGCCATGCCTGGCTATTTTTTTTAATTTTAAGTAGAGTTGGGGGCTTGCTTTCTTCAGGCAAGTATCTGATTTTCTAATGAAGTTTTTATGAGTAGAAATCCATGAGTGAAGGGATTAAAAAATATTTACTAACTTTGTATAAAAGCACAGCATGAGACCACCGTAAGGCAAGGTACATGGGAGCACATGTTATTCTTATTTTGCAAGAAATTTCATAATTTGATCAGTGGCTTCAATGATTTTTGCTCAAGTTGCTAACTCTCTACTAGGTCTTTCAGACTAAAACCAGGTGTCTCAGATATAATGAAATAACTTTCTTTTTGTGGGAGAAAGCTAAATACAGAGGGTGCCAAAAAAATGCACATACATCTTAAAGTGATGCTACCTATGCATTACTTTTTAAAGTTGAATTAAATTATGGTAGCAATGTGTAGTATGATATTCACTCAAAAGATGGCATTAATCAAATGAATGCTAGCATCACCATGCAACAGGTGGGATGGTTAAAGAAAATGGTGGAAGGACAGCTATCATTTGAGGAGTGCCAAGACCATTTTGAAGAGGTATTCAAATTGGAGAATGTTGTGGAAGTACACCACTAGAGGTGTGAGTATGCAACAGAACCTCCAACATGCCTGACAACTGCATGCATTTGTATTAAGTTTGAGATGCATGGTACTGCGTATGATGTGCACAAGGGAAAATCTGGAAGGCCTGGCAATTTTGCTCAGGCAGTAGTTAGCTGTAATGAGAAGTGTCTGCATGCTAATCGTAACCACTTTGAGCACCTCTTATAATTGCAGAAGTCAAACATGAGTTGTGTTCTTTTTTTTTTTTAAGACAAGAGTCTCACTTTGTTGCCCTCAATAGAGGGCCGTGGCATCGTAGCTCACAGCAATCTTCAGCTCTTGGGCTTAGGTGATTCTCTTGCCTCAGCCTCCCCAGTAGCTGAGACTACAGGTGCCCACCACAGCACCTGGCTATTGTTTTGTTGCAGTTTGGCCAGGGCTGGGTTCAAACCTGGCACCCTCGGTATATGGGGCTAACACCCTACTCACTGAGTCACAGGTGCCATCTGTTGTATTCATCTATTTCATACAGTTTTTTTCTTTCTTAAAAATCTGTATACATTTTTTGGCACCCTCTGTGTATAATGACATAGCTTAACAAAGTATTGTGAGGGCTGGGTGCAGGGGCTCACACCTTTAATTCCAAAACTTTAGGAGGCCAGGGTAGGTAGACTGCTTGAGGCAAAGGTAGGTAGTAGTCTGAAATCAGTCTGGGCAACAGAGTGAGACTCCATCTCCACAAAAAATTAAAAGTTACCCAGACTTGCAGGCCCTTGCATCTAGTTCCAGCTATTCAGGAGACTGGAGGATTGCTTGAGCCCAGGAGTTTGAGGCTGTACTGAGCTGGACTGCAGTCTGGGCAACAGAGTTAAAACTCTAAGGAAAAAAAGGAACGTGGGTCTATTTGGGCCCAAAGGCCAGATGTTGGAGAGTTACAATCTGGATGGAAAGAAGTGGTCAAATAATCCCAAGATTGTTACGTGTGCATTTTTTATGTACACACATATTTCTTGACCTAGCTGAAGGGATGATGAAACCAATAGCAATGACACCCCAATAGCAATGAGTATACCTAGGGTCCAGATCTTGGTTTCTAAATCCACTCAGAATTTAAAAAGCATGGCTGGGGTAGGAAAATATAAGATGAGCCTGGAATATCTATGTAATTGTGCCATACAGAAAGGGAGGGGGTAAAAGAATAACAGGGACATTGTCAGAGACATAGGAGCTAGTGGGAAAGGTATAGGAAAGGTTTGAGTACCAAGACGATGGGAACATTTTCTAGGGTGACAGAACCATTTTCTTTTAATTTTTTTTTTTTTT